TATTACTCTATTTTTCTGAATTTGAATCGAGTAATTCTTGTATGTCTTTATATTTTGATTAAATAAGTATTGATTTTCTTGAATTAAATTCATTAAACCGATTAAAATAAATATTGCTATCTTTGTTTTTAAAATAAACTTTATTTTTGAAAACTTAACTTTGTGTGGCCTTATCTATTATTGTCAAAATTAGATTCCCGCACGTTAATTCTGAAAACCCTTATGGAATCTATTATGCCGAAATCACAAACTTAACCGAATTGGTTGAAAATCATTCTGCTAATTTTTATCAGGTGCTTCAGGACATAGATAGGGATGGGTAACGGCTGGCTATTGTCGGCTTAGCCGACCGGCTATCTCGTGACTCAGTGATCTAAATTGGGTGATTATAGTGCCATTCAATTCGTCTTAAAGAGACGAATTGGATCACTGGATCACGAGATATCACGAGATAGCCGGTCGGCTAAGCCGAAAATAGCAGCCGTTGACATCCCTAGACATGGAAACGAACTCAAGGTTGGGAAAGTTTTCGATACAAAATCAGAAGAGATCCAGTTTAAATATTTGGTGTACAAACTGCTCTTATGCTAATCGCTCTAATTAAGAGTCGTTATATTGGCTTTTAAGGATTAACTTTCAAAACTTCATGAATTTCTGCATGGCCCGTTGACCCGTGTTATAACCCGGGTTAATACTCGGGTAAGAGTTCTATGTAATGATTTAGTTGGTGAGTAGTATAACTAAAATTATCAGGCTTATCTATTAGCTAATTTATTTATTCAATGAATGCTAAGGTTTTTTTTTACTAATGTGTCTATTTAAAGAAGCCAATCGAGTCTATAGCACTTATTATTACGCCGTATCTTGTATAATTTAATTTTTAATTTAGTTCCAATAATCAGTTACATACAACTAGTTAATGTCACTTTATTGTGTTGTGTAGTGTAAGCGAATATGTATCAACAAATAAATGAGAATGTCACATAGTGCTTTAAAATTTATCTTTGTCAATAGCCAATCAGTTATCTTTATATCATGTGACCTAAATTTTTTTCTATAATAAATTCGGAATAATAAAAAAATTCGGCAAAATCAAATATATTTTGTTATACTCATAATATACTTTCAGTTCGCTATTCATTATAGTAAGACTTATTATAAAAAATTCATTATATTTAATTATTTTATTTATAAAAAATTAAATTAATTAAATATTTCGTTATAGGACAAAATTCGTAATATAAAAATTCATTATGTCAAGCTTTAACTATATAAATATAACAAAAAACAGAAGTAAAATAATAAAAGATGGGTTGATAGATCCAACTCACTGATTGAAGATTTGTCTGGATCATTTCAATTTCTTATCATTCTAAAAAAGAAGAAAAAGTTGATAATAATGGTAAAATAAATAAATTAGAAAGTAAAAATAGAAGCAGATAATAATACTGACATAGGTGAACCAGAAGATAATAATGCTATTGCAAGTAAACTAGCAAGTAGTAGTAATACTACTAATAATAATAATACATTAAATAAAAGAATTGAAGATAATTAAGATATTTATCCAGATTAGCAATACAATTTTATTAAAAAAACTAAATATGTATATTCTTATTAGTAGTTGATATGTAAGAATTGCTGTACTAATATTTGATTCTCTAAGATGCTAAGAAGTGGTAGTTATATTATTAAGGTAAAGCATTTATAATAAGTGCTATAAAAATTATTTTGAATATATGGGGTGCCTCCAATTAAAAGGATCCACTTTTACAATTTTTCAAAAAATGAGCTTTTATTAGATTCATGTAAAATTTAACATGACTGATATTTTCAATTATAAATGAAAGTCAATTTTCTTAATAAAAATAGTGATAATGTGAAAAAAAATTACACAAGGCCAAGCATATCACAAGATTACCTGATGGTCACCTATTACTTATAACTAATCAAAATTGTAAAATTTAATTAATCTCAAATTAGTTCAAAAATCAAAACAAATGATTAAACTCAATTATCTCAAAATGAGATATATATAAAATGGGACCTTTTAATTGGGACACCCCATATTACCTAGTTTATATTATGAAACTGCTAATAAGTAATTTGTATTTTATTCTGTTTTTAATCATCTATACTGTTAATTAATTAGAATTTATCTGCATTGCATTTAGCTTCTGATAAGGTAGTAGAAAGAACTAATACAGTAGTATAAAAAAATATCTTCCAGAAGAAAGTTTGTAAAGAAGGTAGGTTGAGCAGAAAATTAAAAATAGTTTTAATCATAAAGTATTGATGCAAAGTTTGTATAATAAAGATGATTAATGCTTGTAATATAATAGATAGAGTTAACTAAATATCATATAAAGCTAGAACAAAGATCTCATATAAAACCGGATTAGTATAGTATAGATTCCCATATCGATACTATACTCCTGTAAATTGAATTTTTAATATTTTTTATATTTAGAGTAAAGATATTTCAATAACCACCAAACCAAATTTAATGACTATTTTTATAAGAATTCTACGAATTTATAAAATTTAAATAAAAAAAAATAATTTATCTTCACACAAAGTTTAAAAAAGTTTAGCACAGCCCTATTTTGATAGATGTTTTGAATTTTTTAAAAATTTGAATGAAGATGTCTCGACAACCACTAAACTAAAATCGATGAAACTTCTTATTTAAATTCTAGGAATCTTTAGAAGTAAATAAAAAAAGTTTATTAAATTTGGCTTGGTGGTTGTCGAGATATCTTTCCTCAAAATATGCGAAAATTTGCCGCACCCACTATTTGATAGACATTTTGAATTTTTTAAAGCTTTGAGTAAAGGTATCTCAACAATAACAAAGCCATATCGATAAACTTTTTTTAATTGCATTCTACAGATTTGTAGCATTCAGATAAAAAAGTTCATGAAGGTTGTTGAAATATCTTTACTCAAAACTTAAAAAAAAATTAATTTACAGGTTTGGGGTACGAATAACAAAATTGAGGGGTATGTATAACAGCCGCCTTAAGTACTGATAATAATAAAATTGGGTTAAAATTTTGTTAAATTTATATAAAATTCATATAGGATCACAAATTTTCTAATATTAATTGTAGCGCGAAAAAATGCAACATAATTAGATACAATTTTAAGACATTCAGTAAGATATTATTGATGGATATTGAAAATTTAAAATTTGCGAAAAATAAAACATTGTAAGAAAGCAAAATTTTAAAAGCCGTAATCAAAGGTCATAAGATTTAAAAATATTTAAAACAGCAAATATGTTATATAGCTTAATAAAGAAAATATTTAGATAAATCGAAAAAATGTATTTTATCATTCAATAATTTCGAAATTCATACAGGTTTATTTTCTTCTAGATCTTATAGCAGACTTTTTGGGACATTTTTTGTAGCAGTAGCCTTTTTAGTAGTCTTTTTAACAGCTCCATGTTTAGAAACTCTTTTTTTCTTATCTTTTGTAGCAGTTGTTTTCTTTGCGACAGATGCTTATTTCGTAATCTTGGGCTTAGAAACCCTAGAAACATTTACCTTTGTTTTTTAGAAGACTCGTCCATTTTAGACACAGTTAGAGGCATAATGAGCTTGATTGTACCTATTAGACTGCTATAAAATTCAAAAATTCCTTTTTCGACACCCTTATTAAGTGCTTTGATTCAAGGTAGCATTATCTTCAATATGATATGTGTTTGCGATATATTTCTTGATAGCTGGTTGACTACTTCCTTTACGATCTTTCAAAACAATAATAGCTTCACGAATCATTTCTTTATAAGTGGGTCTCTTAGTACTTGCTTTTGCAGACATGCTAAACAAAGTTGAAAAAGTGGATTGAATCTTGTTTAAATAGTGTTTTTATTAAACAAGGAATGAAAAAATGGACTAAGGGTGTTCTCAAACGCCTTCATCAATGGGTCAAAAAGTATCGGTGAATAAATTTTACTTAGCGGAAAATATTTTAAGGATCAAAATTGTTTATCAATATAATAAATATTTAAATAAACATAGCAGTTTAATAAAGTTTATTACGTAAATAATATATTTTTATTAGTAAAAAAATAATACGTGAGTTTATCATTTTAAT